CCTCGGCGCTGCAAGAGTCCGCCACGACGTAGGCCACGAGGGCGTCGCCTGCGGACACCTCGCCCACCTGGCGGCCGGCGGGCCCCCGAGGAGGAGGAGGGAGCGGGGAGCGAGGAGGAGGACAAGGAGGGAGCGGGGAGCGGGGGAGCGAGGAGGAGGAGCGAGGGAGGAGGAGGAGGAGGAGGAGGAGGAGGGGAGAGGGAGGAGGAGGAGCGAGGAGGAGGAGGAGGAGGAGGAGGAGGACGGGGAGGAGGAGGAGGAGCGAGGAGGGAGGAGGGACGTGGGAGGAGGAGGGGGAGGGAGGAGGAGGAGGAGGAGGAGGAGGAGGAGGAGGAGGAGGAGGAGAGGAGGAGGAGGAGGAGGAGGAGGAGGAGGAGGAGGAGGAGAGGAGGAGGAGGAGGGAGGAGGAGCGAGGAGGAAGGAGGAGGAGGAGGGAGGAGGAGGAGGAGGAGGAGGAGCGAGGAGGAGGAGGGAGGAGGAGGAGGAGGAGGAGGAGGAGAGGAGGAGAGGAGCGAGGGAGGAGGAGGAGGAGCGAGGAGGAGCGAGGAGGAGCGAGGGAGGAGGAGCGAGGGAGGAGGAGGAGGAGGAGGAGGAGGAGGAGGAGGAGGAGGAGGAGGAGGAGGAGGAGGAGGGGCGAGGGAGGAGGAGGGAGTGGGGAGTGAGGAGGAGGAAAAGGGAGGCAGGCCTCCTCGCGCCGTGGGGAGGCACGGCGGGAGGCCTCTGCTGCGGCGGCGGCCCGCGCCGGGGCCCCTCGGCAGGCCTGCGACGGCGCGAGAACGGCTCGGGGCGTCGCCAGAGGGCACCTCGCCCGCCTGGCGGCCGGCGGGCGCCCAGGGGCAGAGCCTCGAGGGGATCGAGACGGCAAGTTCGAGGTCCGACGAGCGGGGTCTTGAGTCTTCTTGGGCCTCCCAGGCGCCCTCGCCGCCGTGGCTGGATCCGCGAAGTTCTGGTCAGAACGCACACCTGGACAAGTCTGTGGCCTGGATGTCGACTCCAGAGCCCATGCCTCCACGCTGTGAAAGAATCACGGTGGGAAATTGTTGCTGCAATTTTGGGCCTGCGCTGGGGGCCCTCACCAGGACAAGGGACCGTGAAAGAACGGCTCGGGGTGACGTGGTGCAAACCTCTGGGGAGGCATGCTGCGACCGAAATCGTGACGTCGGAGGCCCCTGCATCTTCAGAAGGCCGCCCTCCCTCGCCTCGCCCCTGACCCGAGTGAAGTCGTAGCGACGAGACCGTCGTCAAAGAAGCACACATGCATTTCCAGATCTCGAGCGGCGGCGACGGCGGCGGCGACGGCGGCGACAGACGCGGCGACGCCTGCGGCGGCGGCAGCGATGGCCGCGGCGACGGCGACGACGGCGACAGCCGCGGTGGCGACGACGGCAACGGCGACGGCGACGGCGGCGGCGACGACTGCTGCGGCGGCGGTGACAACGACGGCGGCGGCGACGGCGAGGGCCGACGAACGACTGAGGCGGCGAGCCTCGCTTTGGGCGGGCAGGATGCGCCGCACGCGCCTGCCCGTGACGACGGCCAGGCACATGGGGACTCCTGCGGCGGAAGGCCGCCTCCACCCGTGAGCACTGCAGCGCGTGTTTGGACGACTACGCTTGCGTCCACAACAGCTGCTGCTGCTGCTGCTGGAGCTTCAACAGCGTGTACCACAATTCCTGTGTACAGCACGATGCCACAGTGCCTGTTTACCACCACAGCCGTGTGCACCGCAACGCCTGCGTATATAACCCCGCGTGTGCGTACACCACAACACTGTGTGCACTACATATGCAATGTCAGCATCGCACGAGTGCACCACTGCACATCGTGCCTGTGCACACAAAAAAAACAGTGTGCACCTCCAGGGTCTCGACGGGGCCGAATTCCTTTTGTTTTGGACGCTGGCTCGATTCACGCGCTGGCTCCCAGCAGCACAGGACCGAACGAGGCCTCGAGAAAAGACGAACGAACGAGGACCAGAGGAAAAGCACAGCGGCGGAGGGACAACGACCGAGCGAAGAACCGAGGCCCGAAACCCGCAGCGGCAGCCAGGCACGGCACATGAAACCAGACACGGTCTTTTGCTTTGAGAGACTTTGGCCCTGCGGCGGCCACAGGCCGCAGAGTCTTTGCCTTTGTGTAGGACGTCCCCTCCACCAACACAATTTCTACACCTCCCCGATCCATGAGACAGGCGAAGAGGGCACTGCTCGATTTTAACGCAACAGGTGTCAGGTTCCGCCGCGGCTCGGCGATCGGCATGGCCCCAGTGGCGACGGGCGTTCTGACAGCTCGGCAAAAAAAGAGCCTGGCGAAGGACCCAACCATATGCAGTTGTGGGTATCACATTCGGGGGAACCCCGTATGGGGCCACGAAGCGCTGTACTGGGTGGGGGGGGCGCATGCGGGCTGTGCCTCTGGGACCTTCGGTGGAGCTCCCTATGGGGCCACGTAACGCTGCCCTGGGTGAGGGAACCGCATGCGGGCTGTGCCACTGGGACCTTCGGTCGAGCTCCCTATGGGGCCACGAAACGCTGCCCTGGGTGGGGGGGGGGGGACGCATGCGAACGCCACTGGAGCCCTATGCTGCCGGCGGGGGCGTTGCTGGGTGGGGGAAACCGCAACTCCTTCGGTGGAGCTCCCTATGCTGCCCCGGGGGAACCGCATGCGGGCTGTGCCACTGGACCTTCGGTGGAGCTCCTATGGGGCCCACGAAACGCTGCCCTGGGTGGGGGAACCGCATGCGGGCTGTGCCACTGGGACCTTCGGTGGAGCTCCCTATGGGGCCACGAAACGCTGCCCTGGGTGGGGAACCGCATGCGGGCTGTGCCACTGGGACCTTCGGTGGAGCTCCCTATGGGCTACGAAACGCTGCCCTGGGTGGGGGAACCGCATGCGGGCTGTGCCACTGGGACCTTCGGTGGAGCTCCCTATGGGGCTACGAAACGCTGCCCTGGGTGGGGAACCGCATGCGGGCTGTGCCACTGGGACCTTCGGTGGAGCTCCCTATGGGGCCACGAAGCGCTGCCCTGGGTGGGGGAACCGCATGCGGGCTGTGCCACTGGGACCTTCGGTGGAGCTCCCTATGGGGCTACGGAACGCTGCCCTGGGTGGGGGAACTGCATGCGGGCTGTGCCACTGGGACCTTCGGTGGAGATCCCTATGGGGCCACGAAACGCTGCCCTGGGTGAGGGAACCGCATGCGGGCTGTGCCACTGGGACCTTCGGTGGAGCTCCCTATGGGGCCACGAAGCGCAGCCCTGGGTGAGGGAACCGCATGCGTGCTGTGCCACTGGGACCTTCAGTGGAGCTCCCTATTGGGCCACGAAGCGCTGCCCTGGGTGGGGGAACCGCATGCGGGCTGTGCCACTGGGACCTTCGGTGGAGCTCCCTATGGGGCCGCGAAACGCTGCCCTGGGTAGGGGAACCGCATACGGGCTGTGCCACTGGGACCTTCGGTGGAGCTCCCTATGGGGCTACGAAACGCTGCCCTGGGTGAGGGAACCGCATGCGGGCTGTGCCACTGGGACCTTCGGTGGAGCTCCCTATGGGGCCACGAAGCGCTGCCCTGGGTGGGGGAACCGCATGCGGGCTGTGCCACTGGGACCTTCTTTCTTCTGCTTCCTCCTGTTCCTGGTGACAGTGTTTCGTCCTTCATCAGCTTCAGGCTTAGACTTCTGAATCGAGTCTCGTTTCTCTGTCCTGTTGGTTCGACCAAGGAGGAGCTTCCCACAGAACTTGCACTCGCGCCAGGGGCTGGCGTTTTCTATCCAATAGACTGTGCCAACATCGCAACAAGCACGGCAAACTAGAGAGGGCATTTGGTCCTGGTCATAAGGGAGGCCCGTCGATTGTCGTCGCACGCGAGCGTCGGGCGCCCCGTCGCTGGTTGTCGCACGGCAGCAAAACAAGCTCGAACCTCCGCGGCACGGGGTTCGAGCTTGAGCCAAAACTTGGAGCCAAACTGGCAACAGAACCGAAACCCTGAAATTAATGACGGAGGGGGAGGGCGAACATATCAAAATCCAATGTTTGAACTGCGTGCGGCCAGCCCACGATGCCCGTGTACACTACGCTACCCATGTGCGCCTCAATGCTCGAGCACGTGTACACCACAGCTGCAGAACCGACACCACTGTGCACCTCAGCGCGACTGTGCACCACAGGACCTGTGGCGGTGCACCTGTGCACCACAATTCTTGCGTACGCAAGCATGCCTGTGTACACCGCGAATGCTGCGATGTTGTTACGATAGCAGCTGCGTGCGCCACAGCGCGTGTGCACACCCAGAAGTCTGCTTAAATCATGCGGCCTGTGCCCTGTGCGCACCGCAGGCGAAGTGGAGCACACAGGCTTCCTGGACCGAACACGCGGGGGGACTACCCAGGCCAGAACAGCCCACAATGGCACAGAAGTAATAGATTGCATTTTGCACGCTCGCGCCCCCGTCTCCCTGAGATTTTCCCGATTTCCCTCGTCGAGGCCTGGTGGTGCACACACAGCGACGACGACCACAACCTGCTTGCGAACACCAAAGCGCGCCTGCGAACAAGAGCAGCATCAGGGAGGAGGGATGAGTCCTGGCTGGCCAGCGAGCTCGGCGACGGCGGCGAGGACGTCTCCGACGGTCGTCCAGCATGGGACGTAGACGCCTCTCGGAGGGAAAGGGAGCGTCCTTAATGGTCTGGGGGCCTCCACGGGGCTCCTCGTCACCGCGGCTGGAACACACTCGAAATTCTGGCCAGAACGGATCCCGGGACATACCCGAAGCGGGGGGAGGGATTTCGACGGCCAGACATGCAGGAAGCAGGCCAGCCGACTCTTATGACATGCACAAACAAACTGGAAACTTTCGGCCGCGCGATCGGCTCTCAGTGGCGTTCTCGGTATCCAGATGTTTTCCCAACGGCGGGCGAAGAACTTGCAGAACTTTCCATTCTCAAAGAACACACCGTGTGAATGAATCCCCCTTGTGAGCGTTTTTTTATTCGGCGTTTCGACACTGGGCGGAAGGGGGGAGGGGGAGGGTGGGGGGGGGTCTGGCGGGCGGCGCTCACCACTTTGATCGAACGCCGCCTGCGCTACCGCCTGGGCACTTCACGCAGCGATGCTCTGCCATCCGACTGCCAGCGGCGGCGGTCGGGGCAGGGGAAACCGAGGAAACGAATGCGCTCGAAATCTGCCGTGCGCCAGGGTTGCACGAGAAAAACTATGACTCATCCGCACAATTGGCAACCTTCGGGGGCTCCGCTCGCCTGGATCGGCGCCGGCCCCCCCTCCCTGGCGGCGCCTTCGAAGGTCCGCGCACGGCGCGCTCCGCGCGCCAGGTGCGGACCGCCGAAAGTTCGTGCTCATGTTGATTGTGCTTTGCGGATCCTCCTCTTCCTCCACGCACATCGTCCTCTCCTGAAGGAAGCGGGTCCTCCTCTTCCTCCTCTTCCGCCTCCTCTTCCTCCTCCTCCTCCTCCTCTTCCTCCTCCTCTTGACTGTGCTCTGCGGATCCTCCTCTTCCTCCTCCTCCTCCTCCTCCTCCTCCTCCTCCTCCTCCTCCTCCCCCTCCTCCTCCTCCTCCTCCTCCTCCTCCTCCTCCTCCTCCTCCTCCTCCTCCTCCTCTTCCTCCACACACATCGTCCTCTCCTGAAGGAGGCGGGTCCTGGATCCGGGGGCCCTTCCCTCGGGCCACGCGCGTCGTCCTGCATCTTCCAGCCGACAATCCCGTTGACCCCTGGAGGGCCCCGAGAGCCCGGAAAATGCCAGAGTCCTGAGGGCCCGTTCCTCGGCATCCTCGGGTCCCGAGGCATCGCAAGGAGGGGAGGAGGAGGAGGAGGAGGAGAGAGGGGAGGAGGAGGACGGAGGAGGAGGAGGAGGAGGAGGATGGGAGGAGGAGAAGAAGAGGAGAGGAGGAGGAGGAGGATGAGGAGGGAGGAGGAGGAGAAGGAGGAGGAGGAGGAGGGAGGCTCATGTTGATGCAGATTCCTCTGATTCGATCTCCTCCTCCCCCTCCTCCTCCATCTCATCTCCATCTCCATCTGCTCTCTATCTCCTCCTCCATCTCCTCCTCCTCCTCCTCCTCCTCCTCCTCCTCCTCCTCCTCCCTCCTCCTCCTCCTCCTCTCTCTCATCCTCCTCCTCCTCCTCCTCCTCCTCCTCCTCCTCCTCCTCCTCCTCCTCCCCCCCTGCGGCGCCGTACTGCACGGTGGCGTGCCGCAAGGGCGCCACCACCTCGACGCATAGCACCCGGGAGTCTACCGCGGGGATCGCCAGCGGCAAGCAAAAGAAATCCTCCGCCGGCACACCGCGCTGCGGACGGCTGGGCTCTGTGTTGCGCCCGTGCGTGGAGGGAGCGGGTGTTCGAGGAAAGGGGTCCTCAGAGTCCGCCAACATGGGTTCCGAGTAGATGGGCTCTGGAGATTGCGCCGCATCAGCGATGCAACGGCGCCGTCGGCGATGCATTGGTGCCATCGGCGTTGAGAAGATCTGGCTCGACATCGAGACGCATCGCCGATGTATCGGCGATGCTGGGAGGCCTGGAGTTCTGGAAAGGCCCAGGCCCTCCGCGGGCCCCGGGACCGTCGGAAGACGGCTCGGGACGACGGGAGAAAACCCTTGCTGCGGCAGAAGAGACAAACAAACTTGAGGGATACACGAACCCGGCAAGGAACTTGAGTCAACATGTCTTATGACGCGCGTTCAGCACTTTCCCTTAGCTGGGCTGCAACCACTACCTCCTGCATGTCATGCTTATCCTCCTCTTCCTCCTCCTCCTCCTCCTGCTGCTCCTCCTCCTCCTCCATTCCTTCTCCTTATACATAACTTCCCCCTGTCGGACCCGAGACCAGTTTTAGGGCGGGCCGGGCGTTTCGCCTGAGACTTCCTCACCATTCATTACTCTGAAGTTTAAACATTGACAACAGTTGCAAAGATGGAGGGCGGGTGGTTTTCAAAATGTGGCTCTCGCCTTAGCGCCGCGCACATGTTACTAAACATTTGGAAGAGCATCTCGGACTGAGGGCGGCTTGTTTTCAAAATGTGGCTCTCGCCTTAGCGCCGCGCACTTTCGTCCTCAACACTTGCAAGAATTCCATGGATTATCAACGTACCAGAAACGGTATTTTTGACGGATTCAAGCTTATGAGGGTGCACAACTTATGTTCATTCGCGGTGTGCAAGTCCCAGGAATGGCGCCCTGTCACGATTCAGGATCGTCAAGACGCAACAATCAGGTTGATCCGTGGCAATGGAATCCCGAGAATAATGTCTTGGCATGCTTCAGGGTCTTCAAACAGTTGTCTTCCAACGAGGCAGTTCCCTCAGTAAAACTGAACCGATGAAGGGGCTTATGCAGAGGGAGCTTGGAGGGTGTATTCCAACATCGTTGATGCCTCTTGGGTTTACTCTGGTCCTCCTCCTCCTCCTCTTCCTTCTCCTCCTCGTCATCCTAATCTCAACCCTCCTCTTCCTCATCCTCCTCCTCCTCCTTCCTCCTTCTCGTCATCAGATTCCTGCCTCCGCATCCCGTCTCCCATCGTCATCTCCCTCCTGCACGGCGGCGTCTGTGCATGTGTGAAGAATCCAACGCGACCAAGTGCCCCCCCCCCCCCCTTGGGGGCGGCCGTGGACATGTAAAAATACGCGCCCCGCGCGCACGCGCCAGGCGCATGATGCCCTTCCCCCCCCCTCTCCGTCCGCGCATGTATTTCACGTGTAAGGGATCCGACGCGCCAAAATCTCGCCCCCTCCCCCCCCCCCGTGGGGGCTGTGGACATGTGAAAAGACGTGCACCGCGCGCACGCGACAAGCGCATGTTGGCCCCCCATCCGCGCACTTATTTCCACGCGTGAAGAATGCGACGCGCACAAGTTGGGTCCCGCCTCGGGGCCATGGACACGTGCAGTCATACCCCGAGCGCGCGCCAGGCCCCAGGAGACATCAGAAGGCCACTGGAACCCCCAAGAGGCCCCAGGAAGCCCCAAGAGGCTCCAGGAGGCTCCAGGAAGCCCCAGGGGGTCCCAGAATGCCCCAGGAGGCCCCAAGCTCATGCGCATAGTCTCGCTCGTGCTACTGAGACTCATTCACACTCCAACTCATTCACAGCTAGACTTACTCCCAGTCTATCAATACCCACGCACGTTGATAGTTGAAGTCTCTTGCGCCTGGACACTCGCGGCGGAAAGGTCCATGCACATAGATGCACATACGGGGAGCTCCACACGATGACGTATTCCTGCAAGGGGGGGGCAGCCTGAGCCTGCTGGATTCTTTACACGGCCCCCGAGGGGGGGGGGGGGGGGCAACTTGGGCCCGCTGGATTCTTCACACGTGAAAATTGCGCCTGGGGCCTCCTGGGGGGGGGGGTAGCCGTGCCCCAAGAGGGGCCCAATGTATAAGCACACACGTAAACCACTAGGACTGGGGCCACATGAGAGGGGCAGTATAGGAACCCACGTACAAAACCAAGGATTCGTGCCCCAAGGGGCGCGCCATCTTATAAGAAGATACGTAGGCCACTCAGGAGTGGACACGCAAGAGAAGGACACACTACATATATATATATATATATATATATATATGCTTACGGATAAGCAAACTCAAAGCAAGAAAGTTTCGACCTCCAGACGAGGCCCAACCTATAGGATATTATGCAACACACCAAGGATAACTGGAGCAACTCCTGCGGCCTTCTGCTGTCTCCTGCTCCTGGGACCTCTTGGGGCCTCCTGGGGCCTGGGACCTCCTGGTGCCTCCTAGCACTTCCTGCGGCCCCCTGTGGCCTTCTGGAACATCCTGGGGCCTCCTGAGGCCTCCTGGAATTTCCTGGTGCGTCCTGGAGCTTCCTGGGGCCTCTTGTTGCCTCTTGGGGCTTCCTTTGGTTTCCTGATGCCTCTTGGAGCTTCCTTGGGCCTCCTGAGCCATGCTGGAGCCTTCTGAAACCTCCTGGGAAAGATCCGTGCCCACGGGTCTGGCCAACAAAACAAGCAAACCGCTCGAGACGTCCTCGCAATCTGCCCCCCCACCCCCAGGGGTGCGAAAACCAGCGTCTCGCCCGAGACATCCTCAGAATCTGCTCAGAAACGCAAGGTGTCGAGCATGCAAAGAAGCACACCGCTCGAGACATCCCCACAACCCGGGCACGACTGAAAGGGTGCAATACCCTCTGGCGGCCCCCCCTTGGGGGCGAACGCCAACGCCTCGCCCGAGACATCCTCAGATGTTGTTCCGCAATCGGAGGATGGTGAGCATGCAAACGAGCACGCCGCTCGAGACATCCCCGCAACCTGGGCGCGAACGGGGAGGGCGACAACCAGCGCCTCGCCCGAGACATCATCATCGTCATCGTCATCGTCATCGTCATCGTCATCATCATCATCATCATCATCATCATCATCATCATCATCATCATCATCATCATCACCACCACCATCATCATCATCATCATCATCATCAGCATCATGACCACCACCATCATAATCACCATCATCATCACCACCATCACCACCACCACCATCATCAGCAGCAGCATCATCATCACCACCAACATCATCATCAACCTCAGCATCAGCACCATCGTCCTCATTGTTGTCATCATAATTGATGTTATCATCAACAACAACACCACCATCCTGCTCATCAGCATCACCACTAACATCATCATGATCAGCAGCACCAGCGTCAGCATCAGCATCAGCATCATCATACCATCCTCATCATCATCATCAGCATCAGCATCATCATCGGCATCAGCATCATCATCATCATCATCATCATCAGCATCAGCATCATCATCATCATCATCATCACCATCACCATCACCATCACCATCACCATCATCATCATCATCATCATCATCAGCAGCAGCAGCAGCATCAGCATCAGCATCAGCATCAGCATCATCATCATCATCATCATCCAGCCGCGTGCAACCCTCAGGAGGAGGAGGAGGAGGATGGAGGTGAATGAGTCGGCGCGGTCGGAAACACAACAAGAACCCCATCCTGTGGATACGGAGATAGATGCGTGTCACGCGCGCGCGTCAGGCGCATGTTGGGTCCACCCCCTCCGCGCATGCATTTTCATGTATGAAGAATCCGGCGGGCCCAAGTTGGGTCCCCGACACGTGAAAATACATGCCCCGCGCGAACGCGCCAAGCGTACGTTGGCCCGCCATCAACGCGCGTATTTTCACATGTGCAGATTCTGGCATGCCCACGTTGGGTCTCCCCTCCGCGCTCGCATTTTCAGTAAAAAACCCGACGCACCAAAATTGGATCCCCTGGGGGGCCGTGGACACGTGAAAATACATGACCGGTGCGCACGCGCACGGCGCATGTTGGGTTCCCCTCTCCGCGCACTGGGGGCCGTGGACACGTCACAAATACTTTCCCCGCGCGCACTCGCCGGGCGCATGATGGTTCCCCCTCCCTCCGCATACGTCTATCAATGGGGGCCGTGAACACGTGGAAACAATTGCCCCGCGCGCACGCGCCAGGCGCATGTTGGGTCCCCCCCCTCCGCATGCGTAGTTTTACGTATAAGAGATCCGGCGGGCTCAAATTGGGTCCCCCCTGGGAGCCGTGGTCACGTGAAAATGCATGCCCCGCGCTTACGCGCCAGGCGCATGTTGCCCCCCAATTCGCGCACGCATTTTCACGTGTAAATAATCCAGCGGGTCATGCTGGTCCCCCTGCAGGCCGTGGACATATGAAAACCTGACCAGGCAAAGCTGAAGCGCAATGAAACCATGCGACGGTCAAACTGGTCCCGAAACCTGAAAAGGACCACACCGTGCCATATCCTAAAACCTACCAGGCAAGAGCGGGAAGCGCATGTATGTGTGAAACGCATGTCATGTTGGACGGTTTTGGGCCATCTTGAGGCCACTGGAGGCCGTCTTCCGAAACCTGACCGGACAAGAACGGGAAGCGCCGTTTTTTATCCACCACGTGCGTCAGAGACCGTATTGGCGAGAACTTCAGAGAAACCCATAAACGCAACAGAACAAACTAAATGATGGCCTGCCGCGCTGGTCTGTCGAGGTAGTCTGCTGCCCTGGCCACATCATGGTGTCAACACCGTGCTTTTCTCTCGGCCACGCGGGCCCCCACCCGTTGTCGCCCAGCCTACTTTTTCTGTTCCAGCCTGTCTTGTCTTTTGTTTGTCCGTCGTCGTCGTCGCGTGCCTTTCCTTTGTCGTGGTCGTCGTTTTCATTATAATCGTCCGCTGTTGCCGTTCTCGCTGTCGCCGTCGTTATCATTTTATGATTGCGGTCGTTTTTCTGATTGTTTTTT